AGGGCAGGGCAGGGCAGGGCGGGGCAGGGCAGCAGAAGCCAAGCCAGCGCCCCAAAGACATACCTTGGGTTTACCAGCTCGGTTGGTGACCAGCCGGATGTCCTTCACGTTGCCATGAGCTTTGCAGACTTCTTCCAGCTCCTCCTTCGTGCAGGAAAAGGGCAGGCCGGAGACAAACAGCTTGTGTTTCTCGAGGGCGGTGCTGTACTTGAACACCTGCAGGAAGAGCAAAGCAGAACGCAGAGGAAGAAAGCTCCAGCACAAGCCTGCGGTGGGGCTTTTTGAGGGGGGGATGGGGCGGTTCTAGGCTCAGCCTGGTGTTCCTTCTAACAACGCGGGGTTTCGGTTTTCCCATGTAAGGCTCAAGCACCTGGCCCTCTGCTTCAGCCTTGTTTCTAAAAGGAAGTCATACATCGATTTTATATACGAGGGGGGACACGAGGACACCTTGCGACTGGAGCTCCCGTTCAACGGCTTTCTGGCTCCTCTGGTCCTGCGCAGTTCAGGAGCAGGAGCCATTTCCTCCCCTGTGAGCAGGGGGCAGGTCCTCAGATGGGGAGAAATCTGAGCACAGTCACAGGACCCCAACCCTCTTGCTGACCCTTCCACCCACAAGGGCAGGAGGCGCACCTTGAAATCTGGGTTCTTGTTTTTGTCAACGCATGGAGACACAAACATCGGCCGGCCTTCCACGATCTTCCGGTCCAGGGTGAGCGCTTGCAGGGCTGCCTTCTCGTCCTTAAACTCCACGTAACAGTAGCCCCGGAAAGTCCCCTTGTTGCTGAAGATGGGGCGGACTTCTGCCAGTTCCCCACAGCCCGCAAAAAGATCTTTCAGTTTCGCCTCCGGCTCCGCCATGCTGTAGGAGAGGTTGCTGACGAAGACCGTGATGCTGTCTTTCTTGCTGTCATGGAAAATTTTGGGGGTGTCTTTCCACTTGGAACCTGCCCCCTCTTCCTTTGGTTTCAGGTCAGCTTTCGCAGGCAGGTTTCTTCCAAACAGCCCCGTTTCCATCTCCATCTCTTCCACCTCCCCTTCGGCTGGCGTATCACCGCTGCCACCCTTAGGCCGCTTGGAGGGCTGTTCGGCTGTTCAGGGGAACATGGAGGGATTCAGAAGTTGCCTTATTGCCGCAGAGGAAGAATGCACGAAGGATTCAAAGAGCCGTTCTCACGGCTGTTTCCCTTAACTGAGGGGCTCTGCGTCCCACCCCCAAACCCATGAGCACCGATCCACAGCAAAAAAAAGTCCTGGGAGGGGCTGCGCTGTGGTATCCCCCGGGGAGGGGACCCCCGCCTGTATCCTAACCCTTTCCCAGGCATTTTTGAGATGAGGGATCTCTGCTGGCCAGGCTGCTTCTGCACCAATTAATCCAAGTAGAAGCTGAACCCCAGGAACATGATGGATTATGAGACCCTCAGTACATTTTACTAGGAAGTCAGGTCAGCCCAAACCAGGAACTGTGGACAGGATTCCCTCCTTCCCCTCATTCCAGTTTCCTTTTCACCCCTGAAGAATCTTGAGTGGGTCAAGCCCCCAAACCTAGAAGCAGAGCACTACCGAAGCGATGCTGCCAGTACCTTCCTCCTCCTGCCCCCATTCACCATCGCCATCTGCTTTCCGCTTGGTCCCGGCCTTGGGCTTCTTGGACTTCTTGACGGCTCTTTTCTCTGCCCGGGCCTGCTTGCGCTGCTCCGCTCTCTCTTCCTCCTGCTTTGCGAGGGCAGCTTCCTTCTCCGCCACCTAAAAGGCCAAACGGTCTCATGAGCAAAGGCTCTGACTCGGGCCTTTCCCTCCAAGACATTCACAGCCTGCCTTCGTTTATTTATCGTATTTATATAGCCGCCCATCTCACACAAAGTGACTCTGGGAGGCGTTCATCACTGCAGCGGCCGAGTCCGTCAACAGCTGTGCCCATTCAGAGCCGTCACTTTGGAGTACCTGCATGGAAGGTCTTTGGACTGGGCTGATGAACAGCAAGGGGACAACCATCAGAGCGAAAAGACCTCTGAATGCCTCCAGAGGGGGCTAAAAGCCACTGCTTTCATCCACAGTGTCCTTGATTCCGAAGCAGCCAAGTACATTGTCATTTTTAAGAAGTACACCCCATCTTTCTGCTCATAACTACAGACCTTCAAAAAGCAGGTAAGAATCTCTCTCTCACTCACTCACTCACACAGAGATCCCACTCC